CAGGAATAGTTCCCCCCTCCAAAGTAGCCATTTTCTCCATAGGATTCCCCAGAATTACACCTCATCTCCAGACTTACAGAGATTGGTTCCCCTGGAGAAAAGGGATGCTTTGGAAGGTGGGCTCTGTGGCACTGAGGTCCCTTGTCCTCCCCAGGTTCCATCCCCAAATCTCCAGGAGCTTCCCAACCTGGATCTGGCAACCCTATCTGGAGATAAGTGATAATTCCAGGATAACTCCAGACTGCACCTAGAGGCTGGCAACCCTACTGGAAACTCTTCATCTCAAGTACCCAACAAGAGATTGCATCGATGGGGGAAAGCAGAGGGCAGGCACTCTGCACATGCTCAAAGGCAGTCCCTAAACAACAAAGCTTCCCGAGGCCACATCCCTCTGCAAGACTTCTATCTCCCACACATCATATCCCAATACAAAAGGTGTGGTGGCTCCTCTCTCTCTTCTAGAATTACCAACTCCAGTTTGGGAAATTCCTGGCGATTTGGAAACAGACCCTGAGGAAGGCAGTTTGGGAAGGGCTCGGCTGGAATAGCATACCATTAAGTCCCCCCTACAAAGCGGCCATTTTCTCCAGGGGATCCCCCACAATCACACCTCATCTCCAGACTACAGAGATTGGTTCCCCTGGAGAAAACAGATGCTTCGGAGGATGGACTTTACGGCACGGTACCCCACTGAGGTCCCTGCCCTCCCCAGGCTCCATCCCCAAATCTCCAGGAATTTCCCAGCCTGGATATGGGAACCCCACCCCCTCCCCATCTCCCACCAGTGACCAGGAGGAACCTGACAACCCTATCTGGAGATCAGTGGTAATTCCAGGAGAACTCCAGCCCGCACCCGGAATCCTACTCGAAATTCTTCCTCTCAAGTACCCGAAGAGGGATTGCATTCATGGGGGGAAGCGAAAAGCGGGCAGGCACTCTGCACGTGCTCAGAGGGGCACTGCCTCCAGGAAGGAGGGGCTGCCTGCAGCCCTGAAACGCACCCCCCCCCCCCCCCGAGGTTTTATGTGTGTGTGTGGGGCGCTCTTAAGCCCCCCTCCGGGGCCCGGCCGGGCCTTCACCTACCGTCACGCCGTACTTGAGCGCGATGCCCTGCAGGGTGTCGCCGGGGCCGAGGCGGTGCTCCAGGTAGCGCTCGGCCAGAGGGGCCGCCACGCTGGCCGTGCTGCCATACGAGCGCGTCTTGGCGAAGGCCAGGCTGAGCGAGACTTCGGCCTCCGTCTCGGCCGCTTCCGGCCCGGGAAGCGGCTCCTCGCGCAGGCACAGCCCGGGCACCGGCAGGAAATCGGCCATGGTCTCTCCCCCCTCTGTCTCTCCGTCGCTTTTCGCTCAACGGGGGTGGCGAGAAACCGGGGCGAGGGGCATAGCGGACCGCCCAGAAAACTCGCCGCCAGCGCGCTCCGCTCCGCAGCGCCTGAGGCGAAGGGAGGAGGCTGGAGGAGGCAAAAAGGCGGGAAAAGACCAACCGCAACAGCCGGCCGTTCGCTCAGGTAAACGAACGGGTCCTCGCGCCGCCGTCGGGCCCCGCCAGTCTGCGCCTGCGCAGAAACGTCCACGCATGCGCCCACGGTGCGCACCTGTCTTGAGGTGAAGTCCTGAAGGGAAGCTCCAGTTCATCTTCTTCTCCTTTCATGGGAACAAAGTTTGAGTCCAGTGGCATCTCTCCCCTCAGCCAGTTTCATAGTAATTTTATTTGGCTATCAACAATATGGTTACAATTCAACAATCCAATACCTAAGATAGTGACACAGTAATATATAGTAAAGTAGTTTCAAAACATTTAACTGTGTGACCACTTCCGAAAATAAACCTGAACAATCGGAACAGAAAAAACACCTCTTTGGCGTATGAGTATTGGATGATATCTTCGTTTTTAGCAATATAATCGATTACAGGAAACCACAGTCCCACAAAATGAGAGTTTTCTGGAGAGACACTATTAGTATACAATTTATCTAAAATTTTATCCATTATCTAAAGCTTATACACAGAATTAAACTTTGTTAGTCTTGAAGGTGCCACTGGACTCAAACTTTGTTCTGTTTCTTCAAACCAACGAAACTCAGGCTTTGCTTCAGACCAACTCAGCTGCTCACCCAAATCTCCTCTCATGGGGTTCCTCGTTGTCCTTCATGCAGGGCATTAAAGCTGAGCATTTGGGACTTGCTTTCAGTGCCAAGGAGCACATAAATGTAGTTAAGGAGAGGCAGGAAAGAGTACCCCTGAGCATTTGCAGAATGCCTTTTAGTGCCTTGCACTAATAAGGCTCCTTGAGGCATATGAAGTGCAAAATTTGTTTGGAAAAATGTATATACCACCTTTCTACAGGCAACTAATATTACAAATGTAATATATCTCGCAAGAGACAAGTGTCACACAGCTGCCTTAGGTTAATTCTGTGTGTAGAAAGGAAGCCATCCAAGAGTATTTCAATCAAATGCACAAACCAACCAAAAGCTTGCCCTGGGGAAACTTATCTCAAGCAAGTGCATGTGGCTTAGGCCACAGAAGGCTATTAACAGAAGATGTGAGCAAGAGTTAAGAATAGGGCTGAGAGAGAAGAGGAAACAAAAGAGGAACTGAAGAAGGACATGAAAGAGGAAGAGAGTGGAAAGCTTCAAGAGGCAAATGAAAAGGTAAGTTTATAATAGTGCTGTGTAGCTCCTTGCTGTGTTTCAAGATGCTACTATTTCATTGTTAATGGACTGCAGTGTGAGGGAGGGTGCTTGCAATGCTATATCCCCAGTGCACATGCATTTGAGATTCACACATTTTATTTATTTATGAAAAATATTTATACTTCATCTTTGGGGAGGGACTGTGGCTCAGTGGTAGAGTGTCTGTTTGTCATGCAGAAGGTCCCAGATTCTATCCCCAGCATTTCCACATGAAAGGGCTGGGCAACAGTGGATGTGAAAGACCTCTGCCTGAGACCCCGGAGAACTACTGCCAGCCTAAGTAGACAATACTGACTCAATACCACGAGTCTGATTGAATATAAAGCAGTTTCATGTGTTCTGACTGAAACAGTCTGCAGAGCAACTAAAAATTCATCAGTGGTAACAAAATTGCATAATATAAACAACGAATTTTATCTAGCAGAAGATTCAGCATAAATAATCAAGAGCCAATGTGATGTAGAGTAGATTATCAGGCTAGGATCTTGGAGACCAAGATTCAGATCCCCCCTCTGCCAGAGAAGCTTGCAGGATGACCTTGGACCAGTCACACACTCTCAGACTAACCTACCTCACAAAGTTGTTGTGAGTATAAGATAGAGAAAACAATGAATAAAGTTGCTTTGAGTCCCCATTGGGGAGAAAGGTAGCATGCAAATGAATAAATAAGCAGCCAGAAACATTAATAACCTAAAAAAGTTAGCTCTAAAGGCACTTTTTAAAAGCTTTGTCTTGGCACTGGAATGTCGCTATGGAAGGGGAAAGATGAATCTTCTCAGGGAGGGGTTCCAGTGACTTAGCGCTCTTGAGGAGGCCCACTCTTTTGCAACTTCCCACAGTCCCAGTTGATGAGCCTGCATAGAGTAAAACTTCTAACAACGATTGTAATGAATTAGTGGATTTATATGGATGTAAACTTCCTATTAAGTATCTTGTGCCTGACCCTTTGTTAACCTTGAGTTAGTCCCACAAACAAACTGGCCATCCAAGAAATTGACACAGAATTGGCAAGGCATAGTCAGTAGGGAAACTCTCAGCTGTAGAAGCTGCAAAACAATGGCTTGTCCTGTGATTTTAAGCCATTCACATAACTTCTGAGTTGCAGTTCTCATTCATACTTTAAGATGGGATATTTGGATCTAACTTGGCTTTCCTGTGCAAAGAACAAATCAGCAAGTTTAACAGCCTGATCTACACCTGTCTCTGCATCAGAACAGGCCGTAAATGGGTTTAGGATTGTTACCTCATTAAATCAGCCCAGTTCTTTGCATATTTACTCAGAAGTATGTCTGAGGCCATTGGGACTCACTAGTAAGTCTAGATTCAGGTGGATAGCTGTGTTGGTCTGAAGCAGCAGAACAAAGTTTGAGTCCAGTGGCACCTTTAAGACCAACAAAGTTTTATTCAAGGTATAAGTTTTCATGTGCAAGCACACTTCCTCAGATACAGTGAAACAGAATTTCCTCAAGCCCTACATACAGGAAGATGAGGGAGGCAGCCATCATTGTACAATTTCAGTTTTACTTATACATCTTGGCTCTGACTGGCCCTTCCTGACAGCTTCTATCTTTGTTCCTGTTGAAAATTTGTTTCAGGTTGCAGAAAGAGTTTTAACCCTCTCTTCGTACATAAATTTGAAAAACCAAAAAATTAAAATGCATATCAGTCATGCAAATAACAGAATTCCAGAACATGAAAGAGTTGACCCTACATACATAAGAACATAAGAGAAGCCATGTTGGATCAGGCCAATGCCCATCCAGTCCAACACTCTGTCACAAAGTGGCCAAAACTCAGGCACCATCAGGAGGTCCACCAGCGGGGCCAGAGCTTTAGAAGCCTTCTTGCTGTTGCCCCCCCAAACACCAAGAATACAGAGCATCACTGCCCCAGACATAATGTTCCATCTATACCTTGTGGCTAATAGCCACTGATGGTCCTCTGCTCCATATGTTTATCCAGTCCCCTCCTGAAGCAGTTTGTGCTTGTAGCCGCTACCACTTTGTGTGGCAGTAAATTCCATTTGGTAATGACTCTTTGGGTGAAGAAGTACTTCCTTTTATCTGTTCTAAGGGTACTGCTCATTAATTTCACTGAATGCGCATGAATTCTTGTATTGTGAGAAAGGGAGGAAAGTACTTCTTTCTCTATGTTCTCTATTTGATGCATAATTTTGTAAACCTTTATAATGTCACCTCTTAGTCATTGTTTCTTAGGGTTGCCAGCCTCCAGGTGGGGCCTGGGTATTTCCCGCTTTTACAACTGATCTCCAGCTGACAGAGGTCAGCTCCACTGAAGAAAATGGCCGATTTGAAGGGTGGACTCTATGGCGTACTATCCCCTCTCCAAACCCTGCCCTCTCCTGGTTCCACCCCCAAAGTCTCCAGGTATTTTCCAACCCAGACCTGGCAACCCTATTTCTCCAAGCTAAATGTACAGAAAATGTTTAGACTCAGATTTATATGAACTTGGATGAAGGAGAGGAGTGAAAAATAATACAATGAGCTTATTCTCTTCTTGTAACCATTTCCATGTACATATCTTGAATACAAATTGTTCAATTGCTATGCTACTCCAAAAAATGCCTTCAGAGACCCATATCTTCAACTACCCAGAAAGTGCTTAGAAAGAATATCCTTGTGACTGTCACACACAAATTCTAAAAGATTTCTTACTGACATACTGAAGAATTCACATTGCTTGTGTTACTGTTGTGTTTCAGGCTATGTCTAGACTGGTAGCTAGTTTTAATAACCAGCATCCATCATACTCCCACGTTCCTTATGTTGCAAAATTTCAGCCTAGCTATTTGATTACAGCATTCTTGCCTTGCTGTCCTTCTCTTTTGATCCCAACAAACAGCTATATGATTGCCACTCATTACAGAGACTGTGAAAAGTAAACTGTAGACCTGTCCAGTAGTGATCAATGAAAGCAAGCAGTGCAATCCTGTCACTAATGTATGCCAGTTGGACAGGTTCAAATCCAAATCCCCTTGCATACACCAGCATAAAGAAGTTGTGCTAGCACAGTGAGACAGCAGAGACCCATTGCTTTCCAAATCACAAACAATGCCTATCTCAGCAGTAATGGACAGAGTGTAAGTATCTCTGTAGGTTGCTCCTTTTTCATCCCAGGACTCCCATGTCTTTCAAAAATACATGGCAGATGAAAACATAACAGGTATGTGTCTCTGCCCAGCATGAAGTTGGGGGACAATTGCTTTTAGTCTGATTCTCATGCAACTTTGAAAAGCAAAGGAGCCCTAAAAGAACCTAAAGTTTGACAATCCTGTTTCTGTTTGATGCTGTCAGAACTCACACCATACTATTCAAGAAAAGCAGAGGCATTTTCAGTTGTTCCATGCATGAATCTCACCTCAAACATCTTTATGACAAGAAGTACATTGGGAGAAGGACAGTTGGTTTTCCTCCACAATCCCCCACTCAGTTTGGTCCAAAAAAGAGTTGGATCAGGCCAATGGCCCATCCAGTCCAACACTCTCTGTCACACAGTGGCCAAAAATACCAGGTGCCACAGTGGCTTTCATTGTGTCTACATTAGCTTTCTTTTTAAATGGTATTACTGGGCTTTTGATTGTACTGCTAGAGAGAGTCTCAACTGTGTTATACTTGCATAAACTGTGGCATAGCCACAGCTGTTGTTCTTAAACCATTGGATCTGTAGAGCCTGTATTCTCTCTAAAATGGCTAAGCTACCACAAAACATTTGCTCCATTTGCTTTTTTATATAAAGTGTGCCAAGCACTGGCATTGTATTTCACAACATTTGCTTCCATGTGGAGATGGTTGCTTTGATTTTAGCCACAATACAATCTGGTGG